ATTGAGAAGAATATTTGATCTTAAATTGATTTTTATATAAATTCTAAACAACTCTAAATTTATTTAACAAGATATTTAAGATTCTTAAAACATTTTAAATTTATTATTTTTGTTACGTTTATATGAATTGAGAGATTTAATAAGTTAAGCCTTGCAAAATGAGGAGCCTATTAAAACTAAATACTTTAATACAATGAAATTAATGATTTTATTGAAAAATCCCTTATTCAAAAGTTGAAGTCAAGAATGCACAGTAAAGTCTCTATCCTGGATTGCCGATGTTATGGATTGACTGAGATGAACATGACTTTTTTTTTTCTTTGGACTTATTCAGTGAACAAGTTCACTCGTGATAATTCAGTTTAATTTAAACTTTGGGTTAAATAAAGATTTGGTTCAGGATTTTTCAAGTTTGAATTATTATATCAAGTTTAATAATAATACCAAAAAATCTCTAATAATTTGAATATTATTCTTTAAAATTCATAAAAAATTGTAATTAATTAAAGACAGAGCATGATCAAGAAAGTAGTGTATAAATATAGAAATAGATAGTCACTCTATAATTGCCCACCTGAATTTTTGTTGAACATAAAAAAAGAAAGATATCTAGGTGTTGTTGACATGTTTTTCAATAGAAAAAATAATAATTATATAGAGGTTGACTTGATGTAATATATTTGACTTTGCAAATTAAAAAACAATCTAAAATGATCGTTAAAAATATATTTTGAATAGAAAAATTAAGATAACATTCTTTTTAAAATATTGAGAAGACAACTCATTAGATCTATTTAGATTTACTTAGATCAACCCAGATTAACTTTCAGGATCTCTAACTCGGTTCATAAGACTATAATAATTATGTAAAAAGCAAATAAAAAAATATTATTCCATATTCTCAATTGATTTAATATTAAAAGATAAAATTAAAAATATAAATGAAGTTAACTCAAGTTAACCTGTCGTACTTGATTCATGAGATCTAGATAATCATATATAAAGCAAATTAAAATAAATTATGAAACTTAATTTCTAATAAACTTAATATTGGAACATGAAATTGAAGAAAAATAAATTAAAAAAGACATAAAAGAACCATTCGAGTACACCCAAGTTAACCGACCAAACCCATGACTTGAGTCATAAGGCCAAGACATTTTCATAAAAAGTAAATCAAAATAAATTATAAATTTTAATTCACAACCAAACCAATATTGAAGAATAAAATTTAAAAAAAAAGTTAAAAAAAGACAAAAAACTTGAGGCAATTAGGCTAACTCGTAATCCAAGTCATAAAACTGTGATAATTCTAAAGAAATAAGATAAAAAATAAAATACAATCCCCAATCAACCTTGTGTTGAATTATTAAATTAAAAAAATCAATTAAAAACAAAAAAAACCCTGAGTCAACCTTAGTTAATTTATCAAATTCGGATAATGAGACCAAGATAACTTCATGAAAATAAAAAAATAAAGGTAAGTTTTTTATTAATCTAATATTAAAGAATAAATTTTTTTAAAAAATACTCAATTAAAAAAGGCATAAAAAACCCTAGTTAACCAATCAAATTCACTATTCGGGTCATAATACCATGATAACCTTATGAAAAACAAATAAAAAAATTAAAACCAATTTTTCAATCAATCCAATATTAAAGGATACATTTAAAAAAAATAAAAATAAAACAAAAAAAAACCCAATTTAACCTACCAAAACCAAAATCATAAATTCTAAATAACTTTATAAAAATTACATTAAAATAAATTAAAAAAATCCATAACTCAATCATACCAACAACATGGAAGGAAAAAAATCCTTGACGAAAAAATTGAAAAAGTTCAAAGCATTTCACTAAATGCAAATGCTTTCAAGGATATGATAATTAATAGTTAATTTGTCTTTGACACTTGGAATCTTCATTCGTGATATCAATTCCTAACACTTGAAAGACATGTAACTAACAATATAATGGGCCTGTTCTCTTTCGAAAGGAGCACCTAAAATCCAAAACACAGGCTTAGAATTGTTCTAGCCCAGCCAAATCTGTCTAAGATATATAAGACATATGCTAATCAAGGCCGAGCCTATCACAAATGATAATTTTAGCATAAACTCTTAAAAAATCTTCACTGCACTGCACTTAGCTTGCCTCAGAGGAAAAATCAGTATAATCCAACGCGAATTTATTCTTTAGGACCATTGGAATCTGTTTAATGTTTCAGATAAAAACACTTAAATCCTTGAAGAGAGTATAAAATTCTGTATGGCGTTGAAGGGAGTAGCAGCCATTGACATGCAAGTGGTTATTGAGGAAATAGACAAATACAAGGAGGATGTAAAAATTTAAATTCATCATCTATAAAAAATAATTAAAATATATTTACTCGGATTTGTTTTTTCTATACCCGAATTCTAAGAAGCAGCTAATAGAATCACTACAAAATTTATTTAGGTTTTGGGTTATTTTATGTGGATATTTTAGAGTACGGTAACTATTGTGTTTTAAAATATTTTTTTGTTTAGAAATATATTAAAATATTTATGATATTAACACATCAAATCAATTTATAAATATATAAAAAAAGATTTGAAGTGAAAAAATTATTTTTTTTAAAAAAAATACCTTAAGATGTAAAAATAAACAATTTATTATTATTCCCCACATCCAACTCTCTCTCCCCCTCTCAAGAGCAATTGGGATTTATTTAATATTTCAGATAAAAACATTTAAATCCTTGAAAAATAATAGAAAATTCTATAACACTAAAAAAAAAGTAATCAGTGACATATAAGTAATTACCAAATAAATAGAAAAATACAATCAGGATTTACAGATTTATATTTATGATCCATAAAAAATAATAAAAATATATTTACTTAGAATTTTTCTACAATAAGTGAATTTTAAATAAAATTTATCTAGTTTTCAGGTTATTTTATTCCCCACATCGAACTCTTTCTCACCCCCTCTCAAGAACATGGAAAGAGATGTCTAGCACCTTGCCTAAGAGATCCTTATACTAACCTCCTCCTTTATTTTCTTGATTTTTTTTTTTTAAATTTAGATGATGTTTGAAAACATGGTACAAATTATATTTTATTATATTTTAATTTTTTAATATGTAAATATTAAAAATAAATTTTATAAAATAATTTTTTTGATGTATCTTTAAATAAAAAATACTTTAAATTATAACCTTAATTACTTCAATCTCAAATATTCTCAAACTCCTGAAAACCCCAGCAGGACCACTGTTCCATTCATTAACGTAAGCATAGAAGAGAATGCTCTCTCACGTGGACTTGTTACCCACCACACACACACAACCTTACTTTAATATTGTGGTCGCATTGTCTTCTATCCCTCGCTCATTTTGGTTTTGACTTTTTTCTTTCCCCTTTTTGGGTCCTTCCATGGCAGGCACGATGAGCGGAGGACCACAAGGGACAAATGAGGGTCATTGAGTTAAAGGGGATCTCTTCATGTATCTAGCAATTAACAATAAGCTAGTACTAGTACCAACAATATATAAATAAATAAATAAATAAATCATGCACTCTCCGATCCCAGATTCTCCTCTCCTTTGTTTTCCTATTTTTCTTTTTGTTTTTTTTTCTATTCCTGGGATGCGTAAAAACAACTGATTCCCTGGTAAGATGAGGACTTGATTATTTCGAAGAATGAGGAATTATTCCTATTTATTTCTCCCCACACAAAGATTCTCAAGCTTCAATACCAACTTGTTTTTATTTGAAAAATACTTTTAAAAAAATTTAAATTTTTTTATTTAACTTAAATTAATATATTTTTAATGTTTTTAAATTATTTTAATATACTAATATTAAAAATAATTTTTAAAATTAAAAAATAACATTAATATAATAAATTATTTGAAAATCAATCATAACCGCGTTACAACCACCCTCAAAAAATAAAAGCATTCGAGGGGAAGGGGAAAAAAAGAAAAAAAGCATGCGGAAACGGGCTCTCGGAGTCTGTAAATGTGAGGAGCGGTGGTGTAGACGAAATGGAAAGGCGGCGCCTGCGATAGTTATCACAGCCACGCGCGGAGGGAAAGTGACAAGACGGAATGCGCGAATCAGATGCGGCATGAATCTTGTTCTCAAAGGATCTAACAGTGACGACGAGGCATTTAATCAGCCAATAATCTTGTAGCCTCCTGCCCCTTGTGTTTTTTCCTAAGATGCCTTATCCATGGGTATCGGTTCCACTATTCTCGAGGCTTAACGCCGTCAGCGTCCTTTGATCCTCCCCGTCTCTCTCTCACTGTGAAGATCTTCCTTGTCTTTCAATTAATATGGAACAGTAAAATTAATTCATGGACGAGATGATGGTAATAACATTATCTTAATTAAAAAAAATATTGATCTCGACTGACCTGACAGCTCGTAAATTAATTAATTCAATTATTCAATTATTCAAAACCTTTTCAAATCAGTTTTCAAGCGGTATCTTTAAACTATGATGATTTCTTTACTTTACTATTAGTTTTATTTTTTTTTATTTTACAATTGGATATTATTTTCTCAAACAAATTTTATGTATTGAAATTAATTCAATATGTTATAATTAACTATAATATAAAATAAAGTAGACATGAATCTCAACAGCATGGGTTAAAAATAATAATGTTGGTTCTTCTCTGTGTGGTACGCCTGTCATTCTTGCAGTGATTTATTTGTTTACTGGGCTTGCAGGATGATCAGTAAACCGTAAGATTAGTCGTGGTGCGCGTAAACTGACTCGGACATCCATGTTAATAAAAAAAAAATAATAATGCTGGATACTCTCGAACTTTGTTGTCTCATGATTACCGTATATATGGGAAGTTCGAAATGTACCTTTACCATTTTACCATAATTTTAAAAAACAATTTTAAATATGTATTTGTATTATTTTGGGAAACAGCAAGGGCATTTTGGTAAGGTAGGAAAAGAAACAAAAGCATGGTAGAGAAATTAGATCGATCGCTTTCCGTACTTCATGGCCTTTTCTCGCAAACAAAGAAGAAAGATAAGCCTTTGCCTCTCTCTTGCCCTTTTCGGTCTTCTCTCTCGACTGCTCTCATCATTAAGCTCAAGATCTTCCTTGCTTTCGGTGCTTTCACTTCTTTCACAAAAACTCACCTTCCCTTCTCTCTCTCTCTCTCTCTCGCTTTCAATCTTTTCACTTGACAATATATGCATACAATCAGTAAAACCTTTTCTAGAGGTTTTTCATTCTTCTCATTAAGCTTTAATGCTTCTCTTGAAAGGGTTTAAACCTTTTCTTTTCTTGATTGCTTCCTCTTCACGATCTTATCTTTACTCTGCTTAAAAAATAAGCTGACAGAAAATTTTATCAAGAAAGCGATGCTAAAATATTCCCAGAATTTTCTTCCAGCTTTAATAAGGTAGTTACTACTAAGGTATTTGTAAATGGTTCTTCAGCATCAAATCTGTTAACTTGAGCCCACAATATTAAGAAGAAACAGGAGTAATTAAATCAGAGCATTTGTTAATGGATTCGAGTAGTAGTCACAATTCCAGTTCAGGGTCGTTGAGATTTCGCTCGGCTCCGAGTTCACTTCTCGCAAATTTCACTGATAATGGAGTCGACAATGATTCTGTTTTGAATTTCCAACAGTTTGAGGATAAATCCGCTGCAAGAGTGAGAGAGGAAGCTGTTAATTATTCAAGTTTGCCGCGGAGTTATCCAGGTTTGCCTCCTCATTATCCAAGGCAGAGTTCAGCTACAAGTTCCTCAGCTATGGATAGTTCATATGGTTTGATTGGTTCAATATCAATGGGTCGTCATGAGCAAGTTGAAAAGGTTGATTCAAATCCTGCTAGGCAGAATAGCTCTCCCGCTGGACTTTACGGGAACCTTCCTGTTCAAAATGGTATTTTTTTTATTCTCATTTCTAAATGATGTGTTTTTGAGCGATTTGTATTGTTGGTAGTTTCTTTTACTATGGAGGTTGATTTCTTGAAATGAATTTACATGTTTGCTTCTGATACCCGTGTTCAACGTATTGTTTTTAGAAGCTCATTTGCTCCGAAGATAGAGTATATGTAGCAAACCATCAATTGCTATTAATTTAGAATCTGTATTTTAGTACAAGATGCTTGTATTATGGAAATTGATCCGAGGTAATGAGTTTTGAAGATAGTTGAAATAATCTCAAATGTTTCATCAGATTCGTAGAAAGGTTGATCTAAAGATAACATTTTATTGAAGCAACTAAATGGTTTGTGTGTGTGTTTTTTTTTTTCCTTTCTGTTGAACAAGTATGGTTTTTCGGCATTAGGAATTACTAATTCCGAATTAGTATGACCAGAAAGGTTCCATTATCCCTAAATGATTGAAGAATCTTCAAGAGTGCAATTCGAGTGTTTATATATATATATATATATTATTGTGGTAGATGGTAGAAAGATTTATAGAAAACCTCTCAGTAAATTGCTGGCTATCCCACCATAAAAGGAGTGGGAAACTATTCTGGGTTGAATGGTACTAATGGAGAAGCAAGTCGGAGATTGCATAGTCAACTTAGCTTCTCATCAAGAGTACCTTCTTCCTTAGGCTTGCTGTCACAGATTTCTGAAATTGGGAGCGAAAGCATGGAGGCAGGCAGCCCTGACAGTGGAAAACTCACAAGTGTCAGTGTTGACGGTCGATTTTATAGCAGTCACGGGTTTCCGTATGGTTCTTGGAATGATTCGCATTTGTCAGAGAACTTTAGCAGCATGAAAAGAGAGCAAGAAAATGGAAACTTGTTTTCTAATGCTCAGGTAATTTGTGTATTAGGTGTTAAGTTATCCATTACTGTTGATTCCTCAATTTCTAATCCAAGTGATTGCTTAAATTTAGAACGGAGACCTTGGAAATCGGGCTCATGTATTATCCCACCGCTTGAGTTTGCCAAAGACTGCAATAGAAATGGTTGCCATGGAAAAGTTTCTCCATTTCCAAGATTCTGTTCCTTGTAAAATTAGAGCAAAGCGTGGTTGTGCCACTCATCCTCGAAGTATCGCGGAAAGAGTATGTGATCTATCTAAATCCCATGCCATAAACTTTCCCTTTTTTAGTATCCAGATAGTGAGCCTCTTATCACATATAACCATATTTGCAGTCACCTTCACCTTCATTTGCCCAATCAGTGATCGTAGTTATAATTAGATGGCACAAACTATTTTTCAGGTGAGAAGAACTCGGATCAGTGAAAGAATGAGGAAACTACAAGAGCTTGTTCCGAACATGGACAAGGTAGGATATTTCCACGTACGGTTTAGCTTCAAAGTTGTCTTGGAAATCTTATTCGTTCATTTTTCTCTTTGGCAGCAAACGAGCACAGCAGACATGTTGGATTTGGCTGTAGTGTACATTAAAGACCTTCAGAAACAGTACAAGGTATGGAGGAGAAAAACAAAAACCATGGAATTATTTCCTAATAAATCATCCGTCATTCACGAATCTATGTTCCTTTGCAGACACTAAGTGACAACCGAGCCAATTGCAAGTGTTTAAGCAAGCAGAAGCCAGTGCAAAACAGAATTGTTTGAGGTGCTTCTGTACAGAAATCCAAGGGGCTGTACGACCAGATCTTGTTGATCTTTAGCATCAGTAAGCGAAGATAAATATATATATATATATTTTTATGTAGAAAGTTTGGTAGGAATTTCCACCCTCATGTTCTGATCCTGAAGCTAACAATGCTTTCAATTACAAAATACCTGAAAAAAAGCCATAAATGTACAGAACATGTTGTAACGCATCAATTCCTTGTTATGAAAAGATAAATGCATTAATTCCTTATGCTGTCTTGTTACATCTTTATTGATATTCAAGGAAAGTAATGCCAATCATTGTATCTTGATTCTTGGTCTATCACACACAAGGTGAGATGAAGAGGGGATTATAGTTGTCTGTACAAATCCTCTCAATTTTTCAATTCTTACATGGAGGAGTGGATTAACAAGGCAAGTTGAATCTTTCTTCTTTGGTGTATAGCCTGAACTGAACTGATTCAATGCCCTTTGTTGTTTTGGTGCTTTTCCAATTTAATGGAAACTCATATATGTCAACCGATAACAGTGACTGAATGGAGGCAAAGTTGCCTTGTTGGTGTGGGATTCATGTTTGTCCAAATATGATCTCTGTGTTAAAATCATACGACATCAAACTATTCAAGCAAGCCAAAGATTCCATGCATCAATTTTTATTCGAGCACTTCTTCATCTCATCACGAAAGAAATTATCTTAAACTAATCATATGATGTTGATGAGGTGTTTATATTTGATTCGAACAATGCTATCATTGTACTTATATATATATATATATATATATATATATTTAGTTTCATGTAGAGTAATTATTGAAGCTTTTATGAAAGGTGTGGATATATAATAAATGTTTTGCTAGTCACTCTCAAAACTTGTTAAAAAAACTTCTCTTAATAATGAAAATTTAAGAAGAAAAATGAAGTGAGAATTGAGAAGAAAAGAAAGAGAGAAATGCAGTGATATGAAACTGAATTTCTTATTATTTGTCTCTCACGATTTATACAATTTCTGTAACTTCTTTACGTGTGGTTATGCAATGTAATATTGAGTTTTAAGGATATAACTTATAGGCGCAAGTATTTTAGTGTGTAGAAGTATATTGTTCATCCTTTACAAAAAAAATTATTTTTTTAATTTGATGTTCAAATTTTTTTTAGCAATTTAATTTTAATTAAAAATCAATTAATTTTAATTTCTTATAAAAAAATAGAATTGAAAGATAAGAAGTTGAAATAAAAAAATGCCAAATATAGATAGTGTATTACAAGTTTTGCAAAAGATATACTTTGGTCCTTAAACTTTAAAAATAATACAGATTATACAATTTCTAGCCTTAGAAATTTTGGAATACTTAAAGGACCCTATTGAAACAAAAAATTCTTTGAATACTCAATTAAGATGGAGGTTATAATTTAATAGCTCATTTGAACCTATCTTCAATTGATAACGCAAAATTACACTGTTAACAAACAATTAAATTATAAATTAGTTTTTTTTAGTTTTTCAAAACAAATTAAATAATCATTGAGATATAAAAATAATTAATTATATTTTATTTTTTAAGCTGAGGAACTAATTTGGGACTCTCTCTCTTTTATTTGTTAATTTTTGTGCAATTTTTTTTAGTGTGTTACTATATTACAAAATTGTGTCATTATACCTTATATTTTGTCTTGCATTACTATATTACATTAAATTGTTAATTCCAATTTGAAGTTTTAACTCTCAAAAGATTTTGATTTTATTTTCTAAAAAAAATATCATTTTACTAATTTATGTTATATTCTATTTTTCTGTGTAATTTAATATCAAATTCATAGGAGAATCTTTATGCATGAATTCAGAATCTTAGAAAAATTAGCAATCTGATAATCAATGCGCATCAATACAAATTTTCAAAAATTTTGGTTTCTCCCCCTTTAAAAAATGGTCGAGTTTCGCCTCTAATTAGTTAATATACACTAAAACAATTTTTTTTTCCCATGGCATAAATACTATTAATTATCTTATAAACTGAAACAATTATTTAAAAAGAAATTCAATTTAATCTTTAAAATTTTACTTTGCATGATTTAACTCTTTTGAGTCTAAATGAGAATCTAATTGTGTATTTTTTAAGAGGAATGATTAAATTGAAAAATAGGTGATTGAAGTAAAGAAAAGCAGGTTAAATAGGTGGTGACTTTAAAATTTATTTTAAATATTCATTTTCACCCACCATCCTTTTTTGCTTTTAGGTTACTAGTCCTTTTAATTTTTTAAAATTTCATTTCAGTATCAAATTTTATTTTATTTTATTTTCTAGTCCCTTTTTTAAGGAAAAGAAAGAGCTCATTAGATTTCGATATAGAAAAAAAACTCATCACTAACACCTTTCTAACCAAAAAACAGGATACAATTAATATCAACGGGTTCAATTAGATAAGAAGAGTCTTATGGTAGTTATATCAAGTTAATGTAGCCTAAAAAACTAAATCTAGATCGTGAATGAAATATTTTTCTTGTTCAATTTTGTGTTTTGATCCCTTTCTTTGCAGTCTATTATGTTGATAAGTTGTTTTCTTGGTTTTTTGGATGTTTTGTGGTTGAAATGAGTTGAAAAATAAGTTTTTTGAGTAAAAATCTCATAATCCTGATTTTCTAGCCACTACAAGAATAACTAAAATATGGATTAGTAGACAACATATTATTTACCACAGTAAGCAACATGTCAGCTACCTATTATTATTTTTTAAATAGTCATTTGTCTCTTTAAATAATACAAAAAATAACAGGCTCAGGTGCATGTCCGTGGACTAGGCATTTCTTAATGCTTTTTTTAATTAATTTCTTTTTTATATGTTCTTTTAAATAATTCTTAATTTTATTTTTTAATTAATACCCATTTTTTGTGATTTATGTTTTACTTATTTAGTTTTTTTTGAATAATGATTATTTTTTAAATTATATTGGTTGTGTTTAATTTTTGATGAGATTAATATGATTTATCTTAATTTTTTTTATATATTTTGTATAGATTAAATTTATTTTAAAATATTAAATTTTTTATTTTTTATTTTTTATAATATTTTTAACTTGTTCAACCTTACATGGCAAATTTTTTTCCTTTAATTTTTTTCAATAAATTTTATATATATCAATTTCTATTACAAATTAATTTTAGTTAATAAATTTATCAAATATAACCACGTAAATGACCCATGTTATGTTGTTAAATATATTGATTTACACTTATTTCTTAATTTTTCATATTTTATGTTTTTTATTAATTATTTTTTTATTAAATTATCCTAGTTTTATAATATGAAATACAAAATTGATATTTAATGTCGATATATTTCATGTCAAAGTCATAAATTTTACATGTTAATCTAGCTTTGTTAATGACAATATTTTTTAAAATTTATTTTTTGTTGTTATTACTTTAATTTTTTATCATTTCATCAAGTTAATTCATCAAGTTAATCAAAATTTAATCTGGTATTCAATTTTTTTTCAGGTTAAAAAAATTTAGTCCAGCCCTCATCATGGGTAACCAATCTAATTCATCCTAAAAAGCAAAAAAGAATACACCCACCAAAAACAAGAAAAAATTCGAAGACGGTCGCATCTGTCACTAAAAAATCTACCGCAAGGAAGGATCCAAGGAACAGGGCAGCAGCTGGCTGCAATTGCAATACTGAAAAACAACCAAGCAGGTTGTGGCAGTGGTGTAGGTGCTGTTTTCCTTCATTTAAATTTCAGTTCGAGTTTTAGTGATTGGAGAGTGGTTTTCTTTGTGTTTCTACTGGGTCTTCTCTATATGGTATATATGTCATCCTTGTGGTGCCTTACCTGTTCACTGGGCTTGCAGGATTTTCAGTGGACCGTGGGATTAGTCGTGGTGCACGTAAACTGACCCGGACACCCACATTAATAAAATAAAAAAAAAATACTGAAAAACAAGAGAACAGTTCGACCCTTATATATTTTCTATCCAAAGAGGGTAATGGGATCACTTGATTTCGTTGCCGTTGCTTGGATTTGGCAAAAGAAACCTCCCATACCCGTTGGCAGTTCCATGGATCACAGTAGACGACCACATGCTGATCCTTTAATCAACAATATTCTACCTCGATTGACAATGAGGGAAGCAACGCGAACCGTGTTTGAAGTATTACATATGTTTGTCTCGCAGTGTTTGGGGAAGCTGAAAATTTGAGGCTATAATGCCTAGAGTCAAGAGGAAAATGACATCAAAAGTCTGGGGATATCTGCAAGAAACCTTGTCTCCTATAAGCATCATGTGGACGAGACAACAGCCCCGTCTTGCTGCAGTATATGTTAGGGGGCTTTTTGCCTTCAGTTATTAATTAGAAGGTAATCTTTCTGATCTTTCAAGCTGTCTTTCTCAATGGCAGACTATCACATTAAAGCCTAAATGGCTGACACTTTTATACGGTAGCGTCCTAAATTTCCAGAAATTACCTAATTGCAAGAAGATGCAGATGTCGGTGAAAACATTTGATAATGATGACACTCCTCTACACTATATATCATGTCTTTGATAGAAGCTTCTCCTTCATTACATCCCTTATCTTTACGTTCGTCGATTTTGGGCGGTGATTGTGGATTGTATGCTTTGTCTCCATCATGGAGTTTATTAGCGGCCCAGAACATCAACAGCTTAAGATAGTCAGGTTTAATGTGTTTGCTTTTAATAAAGAATCCATCATGTGCTTTGCAGAGTGTGCTGAGATCCTTCTGTTGAATCCTAACCTCGTGAAGTGTGGCATGTGGTAGACTCGTCGGGGAAGCTGAAATCTTGTGTCCAATCTCCGAGGCTATATTTCCTCGAGTTGAAGGACAATCTCATGGAAAGTATTATGAGGAATAAACGACCATGTCTCCAGCGAGTATTATGAGGACAGGATAACTGTGATCTTTTAGGGACGTCGCTAGTCTTGCTGCAGTAGCTTTGAGTGGGCAACATCAATGCTGTCATCTTTTTGAAGATTATCTTTCTGGTCTTTGAACCTTCCTTTCTCAATTAGAGACACTTTGTACTCTGCTATATTCTTTTATGTTTAATATCTCCTTTGTAGCAGTTTATTCTGGGTGAAATTGGATACTCTAAACGCTATTTTAACATATTGGATTACATGGTTAATGAAACAAATAAAGTGTTTGTAATGCCCATATTAATCTTAAAGAATCAGCAAGTGTTCGTATCAGTAAATAGAATGTTCACTGTGATTCTGACAGGGAAGGTTGCTTACCATTTTTTGGTAGTTCTGAATGATGGTCTCGTCTGCTGAAAACCATTATTTGTACAAGGTTATCAAGCATCAAAGCTGTAATCTGAGCTCATAGTTTAGAGAACAGACAGAGGAAAACAGAACAGACAGAGCATTTGTTAATAATGAATTCATGTAGGAATCACAACTATCATCACAACAGCCAGTCCTTATAAGGTTGGTTAGCTCCAAGTTCACATGCTGTTAATGGATCGAGTCGAGGATAAGTCTGTTTTGAATTTTCTAGTGTTTGAAGAGAAAACTTGCTGCAAGAGTAAGAGAGGATGGTGTTAATCTTGTAAATTGTCCACAGAGGCATTCAGATTTGCCTCCTCATTATCCAAGGCAGAGTTCTGCAGCAAGTTCTTCCCCTATGGATAGCTCATATTATGATTGGTTCAGTAACAATGGATCATCATGAACAAGTACAAGGGAGATAGATCAACAATTTATTAAAGGTCAAAACCCTTGAAACGAGAGATAATAATTGCTAAATTAAAATTTATTGCCTAAAATATAAAATATACTAGTGAATTTAAAAGTTTAAATTATTAGTTAAATATTATGTTAATAGGAATATCAAATAAATTTCAAACAGATTTTAAGACGTGAAAATCATCATTTTTAAGGTATTAATTATACTTATTATATTTATTGTAGGGTTAAAACAACAAACTTAACAAACTTTTCAGATACAACAAAAACTGAAATTTATAAATAATAACTTCTATAAGTTTTATAAAAATTTCAATTTTGTTTATAATAAGCGTAAACATAGAGTTTATAGAGAAACAAATAGGGATAAAAAAAATATTGTTTTCTAATTGATTTTTACCAATATTGATATTTATAAGGCACAACTTTTCATATTAATATGTCCACAAAAATAACTTAGTAGAAGGTGTCATGTATAAATAATTAATTAACTAATTTGAATATATATTCTCTCAAGTATATAAATTTATGGATTTAGTGTCTCTATTATAAAGTACAATAAAATCACTTATTTTTTTAATGTGAAATAATTTTTTTTATTTATATACCTAATATATAAACTATTTAATAATAATAATATCATAATATATAATTTATATTATTTTTTAACATTAATTTATTTTATGTGCATAAAAATTTAATATATTATAATTATAAACCAGTAGTCGAATACATATGCATATGAAGATTCTGTTGTAATTTTATTGATGTGAATGTTATTGATAAATTATTCTACAAATTTTTGTAGTCACTTAAAATAATAATAAAAAAGTAGTATAACTCAAGCAAATATAATAATTTGTATAAATTCCAAATAAGGTGACATTTGAAATCAAATCTGACCTATATTAAAATATAATACTTCTCAAATATTAGAAGGTTATTTAAACAACACGACAATTCTTTCTTTCTTTATTTCTTTCATGCAATATAGAGAATCTTGAAATTTTTATTTTATTTATCCTTTTAACTGTTTTTTAGTATGATAATTCTTTTTAGTAACTATAATAGAAAAAATCTCCTCCATTTTTTTTTAAATAGTTTCATGAGTGATAGGGTTTTTATTTTGGTTTTCTCTTTCCTTTATCTCCAAGTTTAAATTAAAAATATTAAATTTCTTTGACTTCATAAATAATATATTATTCTTTGTGTACTGCTGGTTAATTGCCAAAACACCCTAAGAAAATGGCATGGCTGACCCTATCAACTTCATCACAATGGACGGCCCAGATCTACCCACTTGATTTATCTGTGTATCCTATAATGCACCAAGAACCTTTACCATAACAAACCGTTAATGGGCCCCGCACTGGCCGTTGGTCTTTCCCTCCATCTCTCCCTCATCCTTACTCACACGCTTGTCCCTCCCGCAAGCCATTTCACAATCAAAACCAACCATTTCCAAACTCCATTTTTTACCCTCTCAAACCCTAACCCTAACCCTCAATTCCAATTTCCATTTCTGCTTCATCATCCACCTATCATTCCCATTTTACCCTTTTGCTAGCCATGATTTGATCTTTTTTTAAAGCTTCCTATTGATTTTAATGCATGGACAAATAATGATGTTTTGACAACAGATCACAACAAGTTCTATCTTTTTTTTGCTGCATGGTTTTATATATTTTTGAGGAGGGAATCTAGTGGGATTTAATTTTGGATTTGAAAATGTCGAATTATATAGATTACAATCAAAAGATTGATTATGTTTTCAAAATTGTGCTAATTGGAGATTCAGCAGTTGGAAAATCACAGTTTCTTGCAAGGTTTGCAAGAAATGAATTCAATGCTGATTCTAAAGCCACCATTGGGGTTGAATTTCAGACAAAAACGCTTGCTATGGATAACAAGACGGTCAAAGCACAGATTTGGGACACTGCTGGCCAAGAAAGGTATGCTTTTACTTTTCGGACACTTTCTTTCGAAATTTTGTTGTTGTGATTCATATGAGGTCACTTGCGATACGTGCTTGAGTATTATATATTTGAAGATAAAAAATCATATTGGAAAATATATATGTGCTTCAATATGTTCCAGTCTAACATAGATAATGCTATGGTGGATCGAGTGAATGAGCTTACAATTGAAGAAATAAAAAACGAGGGATTTCATGAATTCCTGTTTCTGATAGTCTGAAAATGAAGAGCATGCATACGGTTTGGTTGGAGACAAAGAACCGACACAAATATTCATTAAGATTCAAATGGTTGCTTTATATGAACAAGAATCACCTTTTCTCTTTCTCAAATTTTGACATTCATTCTTTTGGGGATCGGTTCCTTCTACTATTTTCACTATCAAAACTCGAAGCAAATTCCTTTTCCTTTCGATTTCACATGTAAACACAGGAACATATGTGGGTGATGCTGCTTAATGAGGGAAGCTTGTTAGAGGATGACCATTTCACCATTCCCTTTTCTGTTTTAAACCCTTTTTCTTTTTGTTATGCCACCTTTCTCCTTACTGTGTCCTGCTTCTATTTAGTTTGCACCTGCATGAAGGCTGGTTTGGAATCAAATGCAGTACCATTCTTCCGTTTTCTTCCTCTTATAGTAATCCAAACTCAGAAGCCATTAGGCTACAGATTCAAGATGCAGATAAATGAAGTGTCATGGAGGAGCATGCGGCTCGCCCCCTCAACAAACGACACTCAATTCTTACTTCACAAGTTGCTAAGCTTGAAAATTTATGATCTGGCTTTCGCATGGGAAAAAAAATATAGATCTTACATTTCAGATTTCTTGAACACTTGCTGTTATGGCAATATGGAACTCGCATTGGCATGACTTCTGTGGATGTATAAGTTCAACTGTCTGAAGTTTTCTACATCTCTGTCATTATTTCTCAGGACCTGTTTTTGTTATTCCTTCTGTATTGTGCCTTGTTTAACAGAATCTAATCATGCACACACGACATTCTACGCGACTCTCCAAATATCTTCACCAACACAGCCTTGATAAACATCTTAGTTCTTCTGTTTCTGTCCTTTTCACTTGAATCTCTTTAACCCAACTTTCTGGAAACAATTGATGCTTTAAAAGTTCCTAATCTTGAAACAAAGTCTGATATTTTTATTTGTATGGTATTGACACTGAACCCACTTGTTAAACAGTAAGAAATCAACAGTTCTGCAAGATCTATGGCCTTGTTTATTACATATCGAGGCACTTTCTCTCATTTAATTTGAAGCAATCCGGAATCCCGTTATCTGAGCATGGTTTGTTATGCCCACTAATACTAAAAGTGAAAAGCTTGACTGCCTGCTTTAACTGTTTGTTTGCTTCTGATTGTGTATCCATGTCTCTATTGACCTCGACCTTAACCCTGATTTAGGCCTAACACTGGCAGTTTGCTAACTGAGAGCTCTTCCATTATGTTCGTTGAAAGTTAAGACGATGTACGCTTAAATCTGAATTTGTGTGTGAACTATTTCTTCTCCTGTCAGTTACAGGGCAGTGACGAGTGCATACTACAGGGGAGCAGTTGGTGCGATGCTAGTTTACGACATGACCAAGCGTCAGTCATTCGATCACTTGGCCAGATGGCTGGAGGAACTGAGGGGTCATGCTGATAAGAGCATTATCATCATGCTCATTGGCAACAAGTGTGACCTGGGGAGTCTCCGAGCGGTTCCGGCAGAAGATGCTAAGGAGTTTGCTCAAAGAGAGAATCTCTTCTTTATGGAGACATCAGCACTGGAGGCCACCAATGTTGAAACTGCCTTTTGGACAGTGCTGACAGAAATATATAGGATAATCAGCAAGAAAACTCTTGCAGGCAATGATGAGTCGGGTGGAAATCCAGGTGTCTTCAAGGGAACTAGGATTTTGGTTCCTTCACAAGCGCAGAATTCTGAAAAGAAGGGTTGTTGCATGTAATTCTAGTCTCCAACTTCGAAACTTGTTTGATTTTTAGAATGCTGTCTATTTTAGTCTCCATTTATCGGAACAATGCTACCTGTACTCTTCGGAAAGTGATATCCTAATTACAACAAAAGTTAAATGATATAAAGAAATTATTGTAAATTGAGAGATATTTTATTATGAATTATAATAGTAGTTTTATTTTTATTTTTATTTTTTATAATTTTATGAGATGTTTTTTTTTTGTTACTTGTGTTTTTATTTTATTTTCTTTGTTTTAGTAATTAAAATATATAATTATCCTATATTTATTTATTTCAAACATATTAGATCAGGCAAGAATTGCTACACCTAAAGTTTTTGGGTATAGCTCAATTAAATTTAAGAAACTTAGGTATGACACAACTGAATCCCATTAGCTAGGGCTTTATAAGGGTGTTAAATCTAAATTATTTGGGTTTAGAAAATGATGTCATTCTCAAGAAACATTGGTCTTGTTATTATTATTATTATTAAATTTAAAAAAAAATTATTATTAAAAAAAACAACATATTTGATTTGAAAGGTAAAACTATAAGAATTTGGATCAAACATGTTTATTATTATTAATATTATTATTTTTATTATTAATAATATTATTAATAAATTTTTTAAAAAATATTATTATTATTGAAAAAAATCATAGATTTGATTTGAATGGTAAAATTAAAAATTATTGTTGTTGTTGTTGTTATTCTTTTCATTATTGTTAATATAATGTATATCATTATTAATAAATTTTTAAAAAAATATTGTTACCATTAAAAAAATAAAAATAAGGTTATATTTGGATTTGACACAATTATACCCCAGAAATTAGGGTTTAACAGGGATGTCAGACCTAGGTGACTTCGATCTGGAAGAGAACGTTAGACTAAGGAAGGGACGCCAACTCAAGTAATTAGGGTCTGACATAGTCACCAAACTCATGTTTTTTGGGCTTGGCATAACCGTTAGACCTAGATAATTTGGGTTTGTTATAGCTATCAGATTCAAAGGGTTTAAAACATTCTTTAAACTTTTAATATTTTTTTAAAATTTTTATTAATCCGCTGTAGAATGCGAGCCAATAAACTAGTAGTATTTAAAGTCTATTTTTTTTAAAATTACGAAAGAGATGCTCAAGTAATGATAGTGTTTTTTTTTTAAAAAATGATACATGATTTATGAACTTGAATTGATTCAATAACATCTGTTAATCTGATTTAAATAGTAGGTAATGATAGCGGATGAATTAGAAAAAACCATTTGGCAGCAATTAAATAAAAAAGACCATTAATATCATACTCATAATAAGAACAAAAAAAAAAAGAACATTGAAGATTCAACGTCACTCCACTATGAACATCTTTTACCATCGAAAGATTTTATTGAGAAAAATCAAACAACACTATAAAAAGTTGCATAATAACATAAAAAGAAGTTGCATGAAAAAAATATTATTTTAATAAAAATTTAACAAATAAAAAATAAATTAAAAGACTTGAGATAACTCAATTAAATAAATAAAATAAATGACATAGAAAGCAGAAAAAAATATATCATAGTCTTCAATTAAATAAATATTAAAAGATAAAACTGGAAAAAATATTAACTAGAAAAAAAAAAACAATCCAAGATGAACATCCTAAAGCTAGGTTAATTTTAAAAAATTATAACTTGTGAAATCTTAGATAGGGGTTTAATAAAGAAACTCAAATCCAAACTAATTAAATGTTGAAGGATAAAATTGAGTTAAAAAAAGCCATATAAAAACTTTTGCAAAAAAAATAATAATGAAAAGAATGAGAATAAAATCTAATAGAAAAAAAAATTGAGGGTGAAATGGCAAACAAAAGAAATTCAACTCTAAAAATTATCTCAGATTACATAAATAGAAATTAAAATAATAATTTTTTTTAATAAAATACAAAATTAAGCAAGAATGAAATTGAAACAAAACTCTATTTTAATAAATTATTTTAAATAAAAAAAATAGAGATCAAATAATAAAAAAAGAGAAATTTAACAGTTGATTTGAAAAATTTAAAGATACAACAGAATTATTGAGTAGTACAAAGAAATTAAAGAAAAAAAAAACAAGATTATTTACACCAAATAGAAGGTCTTTTCAATGCGCATGTTGTTGGGTTATAGAAAAAATATCGAGATGAATCAAATATCATCTTAAACTAATCTTTTTTTGCTATTAAAATGAGTTTCGTACACCACTTAAAAACAATGGAATGATTGACATATATATCAACAAGTTTTTTCTAGATACTTTTTATTTATTGAAGAACTAAATTATCTCTAATTTAACCAACTAATAAATAGAAAACTAGCAGCACAATGATATATATATCCTCTAACCTAAGGTAAATGATTTAAATTTTACAGGCAATTATGTTTTTTTTATTGTGCTTATCAAAAGAAAAAAAATAAAACACCCCTAATTCCAGTTAATTTTTTTATAAGGATAAATAAGTTATTTTACTATACATTTTGATATGAAAATAAATAAAAAAACAACCTTTTATGACAGCATAGCAATTTCTTACTTTCAAAAAGTATTTATGTTATTGTACTATGTAATTAGGAAGTAAAATGCCCGCTTGTTCCTAAATTAATTTTAAAATACCAAAATGGTTCTATTACAAATATAATTTGGCATATAAGTGTGTTTTTTTTTTAAATAAAATGATAAAAACACTATTTTATCCACAATACAACATGTTTGAGAGAAATATTTGTAAAATGTTTTATAACAATATACAATACCATACCCGCAAGGTCATTATTTGAAGTGTTTGAGATGCATGCTATTTTTTAAAATAATTTTTTTATTTAAAAATATATTAAAATAAAATATTTTTAGATTTTTTTATATCAACACATTAAAAATATTATAACACAATAAAAAATATAAATTTAATAAATCTTCACATTTAAAAGTATTTAAAAGCATCTTTATGGAATATATGTTTATGTAACATATAAATTATGAAAAATCATTAGATATGTAAAGATTTTTTTTTCTAATAAAAAATACGATCTATTATAAAAATAATTCATATATCGTATATTTTTGTAAAAGTAATGTATTATTTGATCACGAGTTTCACATTTGTGTGGGCTCACAATTTAGTTTGACCATCCCTTCAGTCATGGCCCAATAACGAAGCCCAACTTTAGGGGCAGAAACGTAACTGCAAGTATCCCGCCGGTGGGCTAATTTCAAAATTTGAGGAACACCTGCCTGAAAAGTTTTAGAAGCAGAAAAATTTCACCAGCTATAAGACCGCCTATATTTCATTTCAAAAGAATTTGCCAATATCTCTTCTCTCGCTAACGAAGCTCTCTCTCTTCTTCTTTACACTTGCAGAGATACCTAACACAGCCCCTCTTCCCTCATAAAAAAGAAGCACCGAAACCCTAGTGTTTCTTGTCTATCAAAGGTGACAACCAAGCAAAGAAGAAACTCTTCTCATTTCTCTGTTCTTTCATTTGGGTTCCATTGAAATGTTATTTTGTTATCTGGGTTGTTGGAGATTTATCATTTTATAGCAGAAAAAAATCTGGTTCTCGTTTTGTTCTTTTACATGTTAATTTCTTTTATCCTGGTTTCTTTGGATTCTTATTCTTCTTTTAAAATCAGGGGTATGGATTTTAAGACAATGTTATTTCCTCGAGTGTGTCGCTGGAGCTTTCTTGTTTCATAAAATAAATTGAATTTGGGTCTGAATGATGATAAACTGGGAGCTCTCTTAGGAAATGGGAGGTTTACCGGGAAAATGTGGGAGATCTCTGTTTCTTTTATTTTTTGTTTCGTTTGCGGTGAAAGAATCCCTAATTTTCATGGAAAGTTTTATTTTCTGAGAATAGGAGAGGGGGTTTTATAGTTACCCCAGATTATTCATTTTCTTGAAATGATAAATGTAAACCTTAGGCTTAGGTTCTTTATTGTATCCAGTAAATGATTTTGCATCTCTCTTCAATGATCAATGTAACAAAACCGTGTTTGATTATTCTCTTGTTATTTTTCCAAGAAAACCTACATTTTCTCGTGTATCTTTACATTTTCATGGAAAGTAAGTGGGTTCTCTATGCACAAATCCGAGATCTCTGTTTTCTTTGAAGAACCAAACTCCGTTTCTCTTTTGTAAATTAAACTTGTGTAATCTTCTATTTTACTAGTCAATCTAACAGAAGCTTTGTCAAATTTTCTCAGTTAAAAATGCCGCTATCAAGAGATAGATTGTCAAGCCCAGTAGACATAGCTGCAATCTTTGCTGCTCGAAGACAATCAAGGATTCTTGGTGTCTATCAAGACCAGCCAGAGCTTGACATGGCGCTGTTTGGTTCTCCTAGACCAAACGCAGCAACAAGAACTCAAACAGTGGGTGCGGGTACCATTACTGTGCGTGGAAGAGGTGGTTTGGGCACTCCAAGGGGCCGAGGTGGCCGGACTTCATTGGGCAGAGAAAATATTCCTCCACCTGGGAGTGCCCGAAGAGGAAGGGGTCGTGGATCAAATAGTGTGTTACCTGCCTGGTACCCTAGGACTCCTCTTCGTGATGTCACTGCTGTTGTTAGGGTAATTATTTTTTTTTTCGTGTTGATTGGTTATAATTTAATTGTGAAAGTTTGGTTTCAAAAGAGCAGCGATGTTGAAGTGCATGGATCATTCTTGACAATATTGCTACTATGGATTTGCCTTTCTAGTTTTGATTCCGAGAAATATAAAATATATGGCTTTCATGTAATTGAGTTTTCAAGAAACCTTGGTCATTGCATGAAATGGAGAAAAAGATTTGTGCCGGTTTTCTTTCAAAACAATCAATGCTATGATATCTGGTGTGTATTGAGTACTGAGTGGAACATACTGCTGGATAAGCTTCTGCATGTTCTACATGGTTTCATTTCAGTCTGCAGAGTGAAGTGAAATGTGTGTGGGGGTCTCTATTCCCCCTGTCACTTCGAGGGGATGGGCTGCTCTCAAGTCTGTGTCCTAGGTTCTTAGATCAATTCGCATGCGTGTTGTGTCACATTGGTCAAAGAACAGAATCTTACTGGTTTTGAATAAAAATCCCCATTGTCCAACTCGAGTGCCCACGTTAAATGGGGTGTCAAATAATTCATTGCCTTGTTGACAAAAGGCCAATTCATTCTCTAATCTCAGAGGCTTCAACGGGGAACCTTTACTGACCTGTTATGGTTCAAGTAAGGTGGGAATGTTGCTGAAACAGAGTTCATGGTTTTTGGTTTTTGCTTATTTTCCTGTTCAACTAATGTTGGGGAAATTCTTTGACCAGGCCATTGAAAGGAGAAGGGAACGCTTGGAAGGAAGTGATGGCCTAGAAATCAGGAGCCCAATGCCTCAAGTTCGAATGAATCATAACTCTTCTGAGGCAACACCAGTTGCTCATCTCGAGCACAGAAACAGGATTATGTCCCCAAAACCAACTACTGAAGTCAAGGGCTGTTCTTCTACCATTGGTAAAGTGCCGGAAATTTTGCAGCATATTACAAACCAAGCCTCTGGTGATCCAGACTCTCTAACACCCCAGAAGAAACTCCTGAACTCAATTGACACAGTTGAGAAAGTAGTGATGGAGGAGTTGCGAAAAATGAAGAGGACTCCTAGTGCTAGGAAGGCTGAGAGAGAGAAAAGAGTTCGAACTCTTATGTCAATGCGGTGACTGTTCATCTTCTGATGATATTTCCACAGTATTCTATGGTAAACCAACAGGAGGAATACAGTCACTACCTTCGGTGACAACCTGTGCAGTGACTTTGATCATCGTCTGGTTATATCATTGTGCATCGAGATTGACCATCTTCTGGTGATATCCTTGTGCATCAAGATTGATCATCTTCTTGTGATATCTTTTCAGGGAGTCTTAGATTTCAATTTTGCTAGTGAAAGATTGCTGCTGGGCAATCTTTCACCAGCGTTCCCTTCATTCTCATGAAGGTTTTACTGTTGTTCCTTCATTCGTTTGAAGGTATGTAGGACAAGGGCTACGTATTTGTTTTGACTGATGTACATAGGTTAGAATACCAGGTATAGCACTCCTGTCTTTTGCCTATGATCTGTTACTTCCTATTGTCATATTGAAACAGTTCTGACCAGTTGAAAATTCTATCATTTTGTGGTAATTTGTAGATGGATAAAGTACAATAAATGTGGTTTTGCCTTGTTCTAGTTACATGTTATGTTAAGCTCGTATAGTGGGCTGCTTCTAGGGCCATTCTTTACGGGCCTCTATCGACAAGAGACCCGACATCTCCGATTGACATTCCAGAGTTGAGAAAGAGTCCAGGTATAAAAGTAGGTTGGAAATAAGTTTTTGAAGAGAAGAATCATTGCCCAAACTTTTCAGTCAGCTCTCTAATTTTCGAAATCTGCTCTGACAAATGAAGTGTTGTCTAAATTATTTTTTCATTAACCGGCCAACCATTAAGAGAATAATCAAGATTTAATTAGTGGCCAGTCATCGTGGAGGATAATCACACAAATGAAGTGTTGTCTAAATTATTTTTTCGATTAACTGGCCAACCATTAAGAGAATGATCAAGATTTAATAAGTGGCCAGTCATCGTGGAGGATAATCACCGAAGATAATGTCAAAGATTAATGTCCATAATAAGAAAAGCGGACCACAAATTGTCCTTACGATGGGAAACTGGACCACAAAATGTATCAGGGTAATCATGCCACCCTCAATAATGTGCAAAGGGCAACGAATTCCATATAAAGATTTCGCAATCAGATTTTGGTATAACAAATCCCATATTTTTATCAAAACCCGAGATAGCGATCTCATATTTAATTTTCAAGCCATCCCATCCTTCCCCTCTCCTGAAAATGACATTTATGGAGTTATTATTGACATGATGGAGTTAGTATTGGCATGGTATATTCCTTTTAAACACCGTGTTCGAAAACGGTGTAATTATACTTCTTAAAAATCTTGATATTTTTTTGTTTTAAATTAATTTTTTAATGTTTTTGGATAATTTTAATGTATTGACTTTAAAGATAATAAAAAATATTATTTTGATAATTTTTTTTTCTAAAACTTCTTTTACCCATCACAAAAAAAATAAAAAGTTGAAACAATCTATGCTATTTATCCCCAGTACAAATCATTTTTCTAAAACTTCTTTTACCCATCACAATAAAAATAAGAAGTTGAAACAATCTATGCTATTATAAAGAGTAAAGTGCATGCAATTTACTTACAAGTGTAATTTCTCTATATAAGAGTAAAGTGCAAGCAATTTCTCTATAAAAGCACATCATAAACTTTCATTACTTACAAGTGTAAAACCCAAGAGAAAACCTCAATCCAAACTAGCTATGGCTACAACTGATATGTTCTACTACCACCTTTTCCTTCTTTGGTTTGTCACTGCGCTACTAGCACACTTCTTCATCAAAACATTCTTAAGGTCCCGTAGTCAAAACAACCTCCCACCGAGCCCGCCAGCTCTACCTTTCATTGGCCACCTCCACCTAATTGGGTCCGTCCTTGCAAAATCTTTCCAAACCCTTGCCGTTCGCTATGGTCCACTAATGCAGATCCGTCTAGGGGCATCAACATGTGTTGTTGCTTCTAATGCTGTGGTGGCCAAAGAAATATTTAAGACCCAAGATCTCAATTTTTCCTCTAGACCTGAATTTGGCTCCTCCGAATACTTCATTTATAGAGGATCAAGATTCGTCACTGCCCAATATGGTGATTATTGGCGGTTCATGAAAAAACTATGCATGACAAGGCTACTTTCTGTCCCTCAACTTAAGAAATTCACCGACATCCTTGATGAAGAGAAGGTCAAGCTTGTCGAATCGGTGACGGGGTGTGCTAGGGAAGGGAAATTGTGTGATTTGAGTAGTGAGTTTACAGTCTTCACAAACAATACTATATGTAGGATGACAATGAGCACGCGATGCTCAGGCAGTAATAGTGATGCTGATCAGATTGAGCGGTTGGTTAAGACATGTTTACATCTTGCAGGGAAGTTAAGTTTAGGGGATGTTTTGGGTCCTTTCAGGATTTTTGACTTCTCTGGGAATGGGAAAAAGCTAGTTGGTGCACTACAAGCCTATGATAGGATAGTGGAGAGGATACTCAAGGAGCATGAAGAGAAGGAAAATAAAGGTGTCGAGGAAGGGGAGAGGGAGGATTTGATGGACATATTGTTGGAGATATACAATGATCCAACTGCTGAAATTAAATTATCTAAAAATGACATAAAGTCCTTCTTGCTTGTAAGTTCCTTCTCTTTACCTTCTACAAATTAATACATGTGAATCTCTTGCATATTTCTTCAATTACTGGCATCGCTAACATCTATAATATGTGCTTAATTAGGACTTATTCTTTGCCGGGACAGACACATCAGCAGCAGCCATGCAATGGGCCATGGCAGAGCTCATCAACAATCCCAAGGCATTCAAGAGGCTTAGAGATGAGATCAATACAGTTGTTGGGCCTAATAGACTTGTTAAGGATTCAGATGTCCCAAACCTCCCTTACCTTAAAGCAGTCATTAGAGAAACACTAAGACTTCACCCTTCAGCACCCTTAATCATCAGAGAATGCGCTGAAGATTGTAAGGTCAACGACTTTGTCATTAAGGCCAAGACAAGAGTTCTTGTCAACGTCTATGCAGTCATGAGGGACCAGGAATCATGGGCTAATCCTGAAGAATTCATGCCTGAAAGGTTTTTGGAGAGCTCCGAGGAGAAAATTGGCGAGCATCAGATGGAATTCAAGGGTCAAAATTTCCGGTTCCTTCCATTTGGGAGTGGAAGAAGAGGATGCCCTGGTGCATCCCTTGCTATGATGATCATGCATGCTGCAGTAGGGTCCTTGGTTCAGTGCTTTGATTGGAAAATCAAGGATGGGAAGGAGGTGGATTTAACCCTAGGACCTGGTTTTGCAGCAGAAATGGCTCATCCACTCGTGTGCTACCCTATCAAGCGCATGAACGCATATTAGGAGAGCCACCATGGAACTCTCATCGATCGATCTTTTACTTCTTTGTTTAGTAAGGTGTGCCTATATATGTTCTTTGAAAGTCCTTAGGTTTGGTTGTTTTAGGAACATGCAACCACTTCCCTCAATCAGTACCTGGGACAAAGTTATGATTTGAAATATGTATTGAAATAAATTAATGTATGTGTATTATACCTTAGGCACACCTTCATTTGTCTTATATCCGTCTTCTTCTTCTTTTTCTTCCCTTTTTTTTTTGTTATTGTTGTTGTAAAATTTAATGATATTGAAACTCTACCTACCAATACTTAATCAATAAGATCGAGATAGATATCAGAAAAATAATTATATATAATTCCACAGAAAATGTATTTTCACATATTAATTTTTATTCTCTCCTGTTTTTCTTTCTTTGTTTCTCATGTTGATATCCATAATGCTTGGTACAATTCCAAATCAATATATAATTACTGCAAAGTATTTTTTTCTATAAATTCAAAAATAAAATGAGGAAAAAAACTCAATTTTATGAATTATTTTAAATAAAACAAATAATAATAAAAAACTAAATTTAAAAGAAACCAAAAAAACTAAATTTTATAAGAATTTACAGGAGAGAGAAAGCAAGAAAAAAAAAGGACACCGGAGCCAAATGTTGTTTAGGAATAAAAAGGGTTATTAATATGATTCAAATGTTGTCTTTAATGTTGGTGTTTAGCTGGTGAACACGTGGTTCGAAAAACATAATAACCACCCATACCTTGACGTGTGCAATTAATATACTAATTATTTTTTTTAAATAATATTTATATTTCTAAAATTATAAAATTTCCTCTCTATCAAACTGACAAAATACCCAAATGAGAATACAACAACGCCCCTAAATGTAAGCTAAAGAAAAAATTACTTTTAAAATCATTTTACTATGTTTAAAAAATTAAAAATATAAGGGTAGAATAACCATTTTACTGTGCATTATAAGCAATACAGAATTGCCTCCTTTAAATGTAACGGGGCCCGATGGAATCCTGTAAAATTATAAAAATACCCCTCATTTTATTTTGTTTCTGAAGGGTGATTTTCCGTGGATTGCCACGTTAAAATATCCATGCCTTTTAGAGTCTTTTAAATTATATTGATAATACAATTGAGGATAGTTTCGTCATTTTGAGAGAATAAAAATAAGGATGTGCCAGCAACACTTCCGTTGATGATTTAATTGATGATTAAATAAATAAATATTACACTAATACAGCATAATTGATGATTTAATTGCTGATTACGTTGACCTGATCTCATTGTTAAGAATATTGTATTAAGAACTCCTTTTTGCAAGCAAAATTATTGAATCGGCAGTTTAATTATCAACCCATGCTATATGGCTTTGGCAAATTAACCTGGTCAAGCAAATCCATAAGGCTAGCTACAGTTCACAAACACTGCGAGTCAATGGCGTTGATGTAAAGTCAAAGCTAGCTACAAGCCTGGCTTGTATCTAGCTAGTCAACGCCTATTCGAATCTCGATGACTATAAGAAACCATTAACACGTGGATTTTTGAGTTTTCTAAGTTGCGTTTATATCTTGATTATTTTTGCATTTTAAAAATATATTTTTTAAAAATTTATTATTTATTATTTATTTAAATTAATTTTATTTGGTGTTTTCAAATTTTTTTAATGTACTAATATCAAAAATAATTTTTTTAAAATAAAAAAATATTATTTTGATGTATTTCCAAACAAAAAACACTTTAAAAAATAATCATTAACACACTCTTATATGTCTAAATTTAAATTTATTATATAATAATGAAGGATCTTCATGCTAAATATAAAATAATGAAAATGCATCAACTATATCACATTGCTTTATATAAAAGAATCAATTTAACGCAATAACTTAAATTATTAGATGAGATTTCAAGATATGATTTATATTATTCTCTAATATACTTTTCAAGTGAAAGCCCTTTAAGCTTTAAATTTGCACAGGTCCACTTTATTTTATTCTTAATTTTTATTAAATAAATAGAGATGACGAGATTTAAACTCGTGATCGCTTAGATATCAAGACTCTAATACTATATTAAAGAACCAATTTAATGTAATAACTTAAACTGTTAAGTGATATTTTAGGATATAATTTATATTATTCTTTAATATTTTATATAAAGATATTAATCTATCAAATTTATATATATGCTAGAAACACTTTATATTTGGTTGATCAATGCTTGATTGTAAAGTAAATAATGGGCAACCTACTAGGAAAAAAATGTAATGATATTGGCAAAATTATAGTTGATAAGTGTTTGCTTCTTGAAGTGTGTTAAGGCATGTGAGCATGTGCTGCACTTGCAAGTAATTAGTAATTTAATTAATATAATAATGTAAGTTTATCAATATTATAAATAGTAAAAGTTCAATGGTTTGAATTGGGGGTTCGCAGACGAAAGAATTCATGCAAGCAATTGTATATGTTCCCAAGCCTACAATCTTAAGCACTAGATTGAAAATCACTATAAAAACCTCTTCCATTTGTGTAAATGTAAAACTTGCTGCACATGGCCACTGATGATCGTGGTTTTGCATATTATTGCTACCTTGGCGGCAGTTGGATCGCCATTGTCCTTCTGGTGCAACTCTTCATCAAAACATGCACCAGCTTTTGCACCAAGATTCGCCACCCACCAAGCCCTCCAGCCCTACCCATCATTGGCCATCTTCACCTTTTAAGCTCAAGGCTACCAAGCTCGCTCAAAACACTTGCTAGCCAATATGGATCCCTCATGCTAATACGTTTTGGATTAACACCTATTTTTGTTGTGTCCGATGCCAAAACAGCCAAGGAGATATTGAAAATCCATGATGTTGATTTTGCCTCTAAGTATACACTCGCTTTTGGCCTCTCAAGATTTGACATTTATGATGGATATACTTTCTTCAATGCCGAGTATGGCACATATTGGCGGTTCATGAAGAAGCTATGCATGACCAAACTATTCGCTGGCACGCAACTGGATCGATTCATCCATATCCGAGAGCAAGAGACGTTGAAGCTTCTAAAATCACTGGTGGAAAAGTCAAGAGAGGGGAAGCCATGTGATTTAGGCGAGGAGCTTTCAGTCTTCTCGAGTAATATAATTTGTAGAATGGCAATTGGCAAGAGATGCATGGAAAACCCTAATTTACCTAGAGAAATAAGGAAGGTGGTAGGGGATATAATGAAAAATGCAGCAAAGTTTAGTTTCAATGAAGTTTTTGGTCCTTTAAGCAGATTTGACTTTTTAGGAAAAGGGAAAGAGCTCGTTTCAGCGACTTGGAAGTATGACCAGCTAATGGAGCAGCTGATGAAGAAATATGAAGAGAAGGTTGAGATGATCAACGGTACTGGTGACGAAGGGGAGAAAGACGTGATGGACATTTTAATGGAGACTTATAAAGACACAAATTCTGAATTGAAGTTAACAAGGAGGCATATAAAAAAATTCTTCCTGGTGAGTTCTTTAATCTTAATGGTTTCGCTGAGTGCAGAGTTTTGTTATTATTAGTTTTTTTTTTTTTTTTGCACTTTCCTATCTAATTTTTATTCCGAATATTTTTTTCATACGCTAGTCAGTAATAGTCTCCTGCAAGGAGCATGATTTCAAGTTATGAGTTAATTTGTGATTCTTAAGTGCATAGATGTGTTTGGTTAATGTATTATAATAAAAATAATAAATATAGAAGAACTTAAAATATGTTTAATTGGAGATCGTTTTTGAGTGATTTTTTCGTTTTATTTTTGAAAACAAAAAAGACAACGGAACATATCTTCCTTGTCTTAAATATCCCATCTTTTTTTTTAATCATAAAAAAATAATTAAATGCTAATTAAATAGAAGACATGAGTACATGTACTCTCTGTCGTAACTATCTTAGATATTATTGATCATCAAATTAATGTAACTATCAATATTCATATGAAAATCAATATATAAAACTTTTCTCTAAAATCAAGGAAGTCTAAAATAAGAAATAAACAACCAATCACGCGAGTACTAATGAAGTTCACTTGTATAGTAATTCAAAACGTATTAACTCTAGCTATGAATTATTTTCTTTGTACAGGAAATATTTTTTGCGGGCGTGGAAACTACTGCAACAGCTATGCAATCTGCCATTACAGAGTTAATACAGAACCCCACTGTGTATACGAAGCTCAGGGAGGAAATTCACTTGAATGTAGGGTCTGATAACAGGCTAGTCAAGGAATCAGACGTCCCAAATCTTCCTTTCTTACAAGCAGTTGTGAAGGAAACCCTAAGGTTAAGTCCTATAGGAACGTTGCGGGCAAGGCAATGCAACGTAGATACTAAGATCAATGGTTATGACATTAAAGCTGGTAGTAGAATCCTCATCAATGCGTATGCCATAATGCGTGACTCAAATTCGTGGGACAAGCCAGATGAGTTCATGCCGGAGAGGTTCTTATCGGCCAAATCGACGGACGGTGTTGATAATCATCCAACGTTGGACTTCAAGGGTGATCAAGATTTTCATTACCTTCCATTTGGGAGTGGAAGGAGAGCATGTGTTGGTGCCTCTCATGGGTTGGTTGTCACTCTCTCAACGATAGGAATGCTAGTGCAATGCTTCGATTGGGAATTGAAAGATGCTGACAAAATTGATACCAAAATGACAGGATATTCAGGATCAAGGGCACTGCCTCTTGCTTGCTACCCCACAACACGCTTTGATCCCACTAGGGCTTGATGCCATGTATTGAAGCCTCGTGGGCGTGTGTTCGTTTCTCACACGTTCGATTGAGTTTTGGAAACACCCTTCAAACTAGCCCTTGTGTTTCTGTCGATTTGGCAAATAAATCTCTGTAACAAAGGAATAAAAATATTGTCAACTTTTATACTATGTTTGCAAGATTTATCCAATAATATTAAACTTATTTAGTAAGATGACTATCAATTAGATTTTTTTGGAAATGTTTAATAAATAAAAAAAATATTTTTTTCATAAGAAAATCTCTGAAATATTTTATGAATAAATAAATATTATTAAAAAATAAAATTTTCAAAAAAGCTCTGTTATTGGTTTTCTTTTTAAATTTAAAAAAATGTAAAAATTATTTTTTTTAAATATTAACATATAAATATATTTCGAATTTTATGAACAATTAAAATTTTAGAAAGTGTTTCAAAAAATAAAATGTTTTTAATCTTTTTATAAAGAAATTAAGAAATAAAATATTTCTTAAACATTTTGAACTTTTAAACTATAATAATTTATTTCTTAATTAGAACTTTTAGTAAATATGTATTTTCAGAATTTTGCCTATATCTTAGAATTTTATTTTTCAAATATATTATTTTTCACATTTTCATTTTTTTGAAAACTCAAGTCTTTTATTTCTTAATTAATTTTTTTTTAAATCTAACCAATACTCATTTTATAGTAAAATGCAATTTATTTAAATAAGATTGAATTTACTAAATTATGCAAATGTAGGGTGTCGGTTGACCAAATCTTTTTCAAGGGACCTATCGATTTTGGGGGATCTTTTCCTTGATTCTTCACACAGCTTGTTTGATTTACCCATACAAGAAATTATTTTCTTGCTGTTGTCCCTAACACTCAAAGTTCAAACCCTTAAATGATTATAATTAAAATAACAATAAAAATAATTATGTTAATTAGATATGCATGTCGCTCTCAGTCATACATTTACATTTCCACGGACCACAACGAAATATTTTACTAAATATCAGCCATCCAAATCATCTGATTAAGAGAAAATGAAATGAAGTTAATTTAGCAATTACCATGTAAAACGTAAGATGCTATCTGCAAATTGTCATTGATTAATTGTATAATTCTAATCTTAACCTGATTTTGGAATTGTTTATGCCGAAGATCACATTTCGATGAGATGGACGGGCAGACCAAAACTTTACTATGCGTTATCACTTATCACAGCAATCCTGGTTGATGTATCTGGCCACACCATGATTCCTGTGCCACATCGTAGGAAGAATAAAATTAATATTTTGGTGAGTAATAATGCGTTACCTAAAAGTAAAAATAATGGGGGTAAGTGGAGATATATTTTTAAACATGATTGTGCTCGATTATGGTATCCAAATTTAAATAACTTACAATGATAAAAATATATTTAATTAAAAAGATAAATATAATAAAATTGATATAAGTTGAGATAAATATAGCAATATAAAATATAAATATAGATATTTAACAATACATAATTCAAAAGCTAATAAAAATATTTTTTATCATCATTGTTATTATCAGTAGAATAGGTATAGGCATAAAATTTGAGATTTTTCTAGATAGAAGAGAAGGATTCTATTTTTAACCATTCGAAGTAAGACTTCAATAAAAAGAAAAAGAAAAAAAGTTGGTGATGTGATGTATAAATGGACTTCCAACTACTTGTATTTTCGTGACAACACAAAAATGATTCGCTAGTTTTGGACGTAGTATTTAGAATCATATTGAGCTAGTGATTAAAACAAAAAGGCGGAATCATTAGGGCCATGATAGCTCTCCTTGCATGCATTAAACAATATTTCCAAGGACCACATCAATATATTAAGGGCACTACATATGAATTTTTGTCTAGCTAGCACCACCAACCCAGAAATATTAGGTTAATACATGAGATATGTAGCTCTCATCTCATCATATAATTAAATGGAGATAATTAATTCCTTGGACCACATGCAGCAATTAGGATTAAGGACCACTGCAAATTAATGAACTTTGTTATTTTGGCCATCCAAATCGACTGATTTAGAGAGAATGAAATGAAGCACATAAGTTTTACAGCTGACGGGATCCCAAGATCGCTATAGCCAAATATGTCATTTGAATTTTGGATTTGTGGTTCCAACACCACAGAAAAATAAAAAATGAATTACACTGATGAAATATCCCATTGATGGAAAAATTATTTATCTATCTATATATATAAAGCATATCCGATAGAATCATGTCATTAATTAGTTAAAATTAAATGGGTGATTTTGCATTTGTCATTAATTTTGTTATTGATTTAATTACCAATGATTAGCTTTATAGAAATCAATTTTTATTAGTATATCAGTTGGTAAATATTACTGATGGTGTGACGATAATGCTGATCATATTTTATATTTCGCCATTTTCATAGTTGTCGCCTAGACTCGTATTAATATGAAGTGGTTGAGGAGCATTATCAATCAAGCATAGGCAAAACCGTCTTCTTGTATCAGCCAATTACATCACTTTAAGCGGTACCATATTGTCACTAACAAGCACCTCTCTTTAATCTCCACCTTAATCCCACTAGTCCATTATCACTTAATCCCACACAATTGATCATCCATGGCCGCTGATATTCAAGACTATGCAATACCATTCCTTATCTTCCTAGCTTCCATCCTGCTGGTGCAAATCATGTTGGCCAAGATCCGTCGCAACGCTGGCCTCCCTCCAAGCCCCAGAGCCCTGCCAATCATTGGACATATGCACCTCCTTAGTCGTATCCCTCACCAAGCCTTCCACAAGCTCTCAGCCCGCTATGGACCTTTGGTTTACTTCTTCATTGGCTCAAAACCTTGTCTTCTTGCTTCTACCCCAGAGGTAGCAAAAGAAATCCTCAAAATCAATGAAGCTAATTTCTTGAACCGTCCTAAAGTAGCCAACCTTGATTACCTTACATATGGCTCAGCTGATTTTGCTACCATATATTATGGACCTCATTGGAAGTTCATGAAGAAACTTTGCATGACTGAAATTCTAGGGAGTAGAACATTAAACCAGTTCCTTCCGATTAGATGCGAAGAGAGAGAACGGTTCTTGAAGTTAGTGTTAAAGAGAGCTGAGGCCAAAGAAGCAGTTGATGTTGGGGGAGAGTTGATGAGATTGACAAATAACATCATATCAAGAATGTTACTACGAACAAGGTGTTCTGATACTGAAAATGAAGCTGACGATGTAAGAGAGTTGGTGAAAGAGTTAAATAATCTAGGTGCCAAGTTTAATCTTTCAGATTCAATTTGGTTCTGCAAGAACTTCGATTTGCAGGGATTTGAGAAAAGGCTTAAGGATGCTCGGGACCGGTATGATGCCATGATGGAGAGGATCATGAAGGAGCATCAAGATGCAAGGAAAAGAAAGAAAGAGACAGGTGATGAAGGTGATACCGTGAAGGATATGCTTGATATTTTACTTGACATATATGAAGATGAGAATGCAGAGAAGAGATTAACCAGAGAGAACATTAAGGCCTTCATCATGGTAAGAAGCCTAATTTATGCAAACATCTGCACACACAATTGAATCACCATAATTTACAGGATCATAAATGAGTAGAGTTCAAAGTGTGAGTAAAATTTATTTATGACCGACAAAAATGTTTGTGCAGCAATTAACATACTAGTGAATTGTGTGAACTAGCTAGGAATTGACATGTGAGTTAATGCATTGTTCAGAACATATTTGGTGCTGGGACAGACACATCTTCCATTACAGTAGAATGGGGACTAGCAGAGCTCATTAACCACCCGATTATGATGGAGAAAGTTAGACAAGAAATTGACTCTGTTGTGGGAAGGAGCAGGCTAGTACAGGAATCAGACATAGCAAGCCTTCCATACCTCCAGGCTATCGTAAAAGAAACACTAAGGCTCCACCCTACTGGCCCCTTAATAGTCAGAGAATCTTTAGAAGACTGCACCATTGCTGGCTACAGAATTCCAGCGAAGACCAGACTGTTTGTTAATATCTGGTCACTTGGGAGGGACCCAAATCACTGGGAAAATCCACTTGAATTTAGGCCAGAGAGATTTACCAGTGAAGAGTGGAGTGCAAACAGTAACATGATGGATGTGAGAGGACAACATTTTCATCTATTGCCATTTGGGTCTGGAAGAAGAAGCTGCCCTGGAGCTTCATTTGCACTGCAGTTTGTTCCAACAACTCTTGCTGCTTTGATCCAGTGCTTTGAGTGGAAGGTTGGTGATGGAGAGAATGGTACTGTTGACATGGACGAGGGACCTGGGCTAACCCTTCCTAGGGCTCATTCCCTGGTGTGTATTCCAGTGTCTAGGCCCTGTCCATTTTTAGCAATCTGAATGTAGATTTTCAGACAGCTATGATCTTGTTTCATTTGATGTAAAATGCTGCCCCTGGTGATGGCATAGTTGGTTGTGTTCATGCATGAATGTAAGTTTTCTTCTGGTACTATCCAACCCCTTCTGCAATTACATAAATATGAATCTAATTGTTTTTCGTAAATTGATTCCTGTTGAAGTTCCGAGTGGCAGACAGAAAATTAACATTTAATAATCGATTAAAGATTCTCACCCTGCTGATTGATCATGATTCATGATAATGAATTTAAAATAGTAACAAAAATTGACTGAAGCTTGTAACTTAATTAAAAGAAAAAATAGCCCTTTAATTTTCAAACCAACCTTTTATCAATTATCATCACTAGCTTAAAAATTATGTTAAGTTGTAAAATATCTTTTTGAACTTTGACGAAACAAGATAATAGATATACTTCACTGAATTTTTCCCTAAGCAATATGATTTTCAAAATACATGATGAAATGACAAGTTTGGCTATTAGATAACAAGTTTGGCTATTAGATAACACCACATCGTACGTGCTGCATAAAAAATATAGATATCATTTATACACTAATATATAATGTACATACATCAATATTTTTTTAAATAAAACATTATTTTTTCAATTAAAAATACTCCGGAAATGATAAAAAATTTTTGTAAAAAAATAAAAAAATACTTCTAGATATGTGTGTGGCTTATGTCTTTTTT